CAACTTCAAAATTTTATAAGCTGCAACTAGTTGCAACTAGGTGATGCTTTATTTGTCATCACATTGCAACAGTTACCGTGTCATCTTTAGTCTTATCATCATTTGCCTGAAAATATTGAAAGAGAAATGAATTTAGATGGAGAGCAATTAGTATTTATAACTTTGAAAATATTATATATATATATATTTAATCATTGTAATATTATTGGTTAATCACAATTATGCGGAAAATTAAAACAATTCACGTGATTGATAATTATAGATTTCTGGCACTATAGTTAAATTTTTTTATATTTATCACTCTTAAAAAAGCAAAATTTGGTAATTATAATTATAGATGACTATAAATAGATGTGATTATAGAAAAATTTGACTAGTATTCCTATAAACTGAACTAAATCAGACTTTTGTCTAAATTTAAATTTGGTTTAAAATTAAATCAAATTTGAATCAGACTTTAATTTAAATTTAAGAAAAGTTAAAAGGTCAAATTGAACTTGAACTAAATTATTATATAAGTTTAATTAGATTAATATATAGTATTATATATTAATTTGTAATTCTAAATAAAAGTTATAATTTTAATTATTTAATTATAAGTACTAATTATAGTATTTAGTAAGAATTAAAAATTTACTTAGTAATAACTAAATTATTTTTATTTTTATGATTATTAAATTTTATCATTAATTCTATATATTTTTTTAAATAATAATAATTATTAATAACTATTTTATATTAAATTGTAGCTTTTATTGCTATCTATAATTTTGCTTATAATTATAATTTATAATTACTATAACAAAATAAAGATTTACTATAGAATAACTAAAGTGAATTAAAATTATAAAAATTAAAAATATTTTTTAAATCTAAATATCTTTTTAAATATTTATTTTCAATATTAATTAATTTGTAGTTCTAATTTTGATTTATAATTTTATATAGAATCTTATTAAATATTTACATAAACTCAAACTGGATTTTTGATTAAATTTGAGTTTAATTCAAAGTTTAAACTAAATCTGAATCAGATTTTTAATTGAATTCAAATTTTTGAACTAGATTTTTGATCAGATTCAAGTTAAGTTCAAGCTCAAACTGAATCAGACTCAAATTGAACCAGATTTTTTTCAGAATCCTAGGTTTGATTATACTTGTTGCATTATTTCTAGATAATATATTCAAAAAAAAGAACAAATAAAGATAGTAAAAACAAATTTCTTTATAATATATATAATTTTGAAAAGTTTATATTTGTTAATTTCAGAAATAATAATAAAAAGAATAATTATATTGAATTCTTGATAATAATAAAACTTGAAAAAAAATTATTTTATAAGAAAGCATTATTATTTAAAATTAATCAAAATAATGAAATTATAAAATTCTGTAATATTATAAATACTTTGTTTACATTTTTTAAGTAAATCAGATTATTATTAAGAACTTTGAAATCTATATATAAATAAGAAAAATAGTTAACATATAAAATATATAATAATTTATTTAAATTATACTCAAAGAATTAATTATTAATACAAATATACAAATAATCAATCTACAAAGTAAATAAGTAAAAATGTGATTTGTCATCAAATATTATTCATATAATAATAATATAATAATTAAAGTTAATTTATATATATAAGTAATAAGTTATGATATCTTCATAGTATTTTATATATAAAATAATCAAATTATTTATAAGTATTATATTATAAATATAATAGTATATTTATTAATCATAATTCATAAAAAGTTGAGTTTTACAAATAATTTTATAATAAAAAATTAATAAATTTATTATTATATATTTATTAATATATTATTAAATATACTAATTTTTAATAAAGTTATATATAATCAATATAGTTAATTAAATAAAATCTGCAAAGAATTTTCTGAAACAAAAAGAATTGGTAGATGAAAAATATAAGTTATTTAATACTATAAAAATAATTTTGTATACTTGCTTAGATTTATTATTTATTCAGAATTTACAAAAAAATAATATAAGTAAGATTATTATTAATTCAATTTTAAAACAAATTATAAATAGTTCAAACTCTTTATAGTTAATGCTAATTGTGGTGAATATAATATTTTTCTTGTATATTTATATTTGAATATTTATATAATATCAAAAGAATATTTCTTATATTTTAGTAAAGTTGATATACTCAAAAAATTCTTTGTTAATTTATAAAATAAAAATATTTAATCAATATTTGTATTTCTGAACAAAAATTTAAAAGAAATTGTTACTATTTAAAAAATTTGCTTTTAATATGTGAAATACATAATTGAATACAAATTAAAAAAGTTAATATTTAATACAAAAAACAAATAAAGCATGTTATTAATTTGATTTTATTAATCTAATATAAAATAAATACATAGATTGTTTTATGTTCTAAAAAATTTATAAAAAAATTATTAGATATTGTTAAAAATATATATAGTCAAATTACTTTATAATTATATTTATTTATAATTATATCTCTTTATAATTATTCTATTTTGCTTTTCTATTTATGATAAAAAATTTTTTCTATAATTACATTCTCTTTATAATTATCAAACTTTATTTTTTCAAAAGTAATGATTATAAAAGGATTTAACTATATATAAATATAATGAGAAATAAAGTTTTAAGTATTATTAATTAATCATTATAAAACTCTAATTAGTCAATAAATTATTTATTATTTATTATTAATAAAATTTGTATATATATTAATTAATTAATTTATAATTATTATATTTACTAATATATTTATATTTTGTACTATAAAATATTAATCAAGTTGCTAATAAATATTAGTATTATATTACTTTAAAGTATTCTATATTAAGCCAATATATTATCTATTAATAGTAAGTGCTTATTTAACAGATAGAAAAAAATATATTATATAATAATTCTAAAATAATCAATATCTATATTGCAAAATTATCCATCTAGAAATCTATTTGTGACACTATGCAATTATCAAAAGTAAAAAAATAAAGCTAGCAGTATATATAAAACATTAATAAAAATTGTAAATAATAATATTGAAAATAACAAGTTTTATAAAGTATATAAAACTCTTAAACAAACTTTTTTTATTGAAATTATTGTATATAATAAAATTTTTACTATAAGAAATCAGCAACAAATCTAAAAGCTACAAAAAACAAAAATTTGGTTTTTTTGATTATTATAGAAATTAAGAATATTTTCAATTTGTTTTAAAAAATTATTTAATAAAAATTATTAAAATTTATCATATTATATGTATATACAAATTCTTTACTTAAATTATACTTTTATAATTTTTTCTGTTAAATAATTATATTGAAGATTTCTTTCACTGAAAAAATGTTAGTAATTGTCTCAAAATTATTAAATTGGTAGATAATTTGCTTCATTACATTATGAATTTCTTAAATAATATGTGTGTAAAAATTTAAAACAAATTATATGAGAGTCGATTGGTTCAGAAATCACTCGATGCGCCGGAACCGGATCGGAAATCACAGGACTTGGAATTTTTTTTGCCATCACTAGTCTACTACTTTTCGCATCTTTGACATCAACAAAGTATCACGTGATCAGCACTTTAGGAGATTGCCCTGGTAGAATACATTAATAAGATTATATAGATCTTAGACTATTTGATAATGTATTTTTTTATGATTAAATAAATATCAATATAAATCCTTTGTAATTTAAAATATTGGATGTCTTTAAACTTTCCGCACCATACTTAATTTCTAGGATTTTTAATTTCCGACGATGAGACGCAGGAATCAGCTAATCTCAATATAAAAAAAATTAATAAAAGCGCTTCGTCGAGGTCTATTATTTATCATCGAGGTAATCACTTCGTCCCAATGATAGATACTTTTCAAATTGAAGTTGGCAAATGAAAAATTATGAGCAGGCTGAGCTCATTGGCTGCTCTGGTTCGAGTCGTGTCTGCTTCGGTTGTCGCGATAACATTATTAATTTAATTGGCTTTAGTAGATTATTCGCAATAATGCCTTTTATTTATGTATATAAGAAAATGAAAAAAATTTTATTTTATTATGATTTTTAAATTTTTTTTTAATTTTTATAATTTTAAATTTTTTTTAATTTTTTGATTTTTTGTGGTGACCACCCTCCTCCGAGCGGTCCTCAAGACTCCTCTTCTGACCAGCAGAAGTCTCGAGGGGCTCTCCTCGGTGCGCGAGAAGTTTGCCGATGTAATCGGCGACAAACTTCTTTATTCGCGACCGAAGAGAGTCGGTCACCACGTACACCCCCTCCTTCTGGCGGCGGAATTCTTTATCCACCACCAGGTGGGCCAGCTATGTATGTAGAGATGAAAAAGAAACATATCATTAGCATTTAGGATAAAAAAATTCAAAATAAATAATATTCCAGTATATATAATAACAATTTGTTTGTGCTTACCCTCCTGGCGTGTTTTTTAAAATCCGCCACCTTAAACTCACCCTTCCAGCGGCTGCAACGATCAATCACCAACTTCTGCAGCTATTAACAAATAGAAAAATTAAAATTGTAAAATCAAACAAAGTTGATAAAAAAACAATATATTACATGCAAACTAAATCCTTACCTCCTCCTTAAATGCTGTCTCGCTCATTGCAGCCGCTGGCTCCACCTTGGCTCCTTCCTCCTCTCCTTGGGGCTCCGGCTCCACAGCTACGTGCTGCGAAGCCATCACCCGCTCGATCACCGCGTTGATCGACGCCACGCTATACCCCTCCAAAGTTTGCCGGTCCTCCACCACCGGTCTCTCCCACTGCGTTTTGTTCGTGACCACGTTATAATAATAGACTTGACCTTCATCCCCCACGACTTCGCGCCAATTTGGGTGCAATGACCCTGGTTGAATAATTCTTGGTACTTGTGGCAGCGAGGTGGGGTCAGGTAATGCTAATGTTGATTGTGGCGGTTGAGGCGGAGTTGCTTGTAGTACTGATGATGATGAAGTTGTTGCTTTATTATGATGAACGTTATTAGTTGCTACTGCTGTATCGGAACTTTCACCTTTATTTGGACTTCTTTGTTGATGACGTGCGACTAATTGTGGAGTAGGTCGATATCGATCTGTAGATGTGAACGTCGAAGTTCTTTGATCATTATTATGCGATGACCGATATGAATCATTTACTGAAGAAGGTTTGTAAGAGCTGTAAGATTCATAAAAGTCCCGACTCGATTCATATCTTGGCCTTCGCTCTGGTTCATTATTATAAGTATGATGATTGCGATTGTCATGATAAGGAATGTAATGTGAATAAGATCTAGAGGAATTGTGATTGCGATTGTTGTAATAAGATTTTCTCCGAGCTTGTGCTTCTTCTTCCTCCTCGCGTTTTCTTTTTTCTTCTTTCTTTCGTTTTTCCTCCTCTAGTTCCTTTGCTTTACGTGCTTCCTCCTCTTCTAGGAGTTTCTGTTCTTGTTCAAGTTGCTCCTTCTATATACACAAATAGGAAGACAAGCAAATTTAGCCATGTAAAATTATTATTAAACTTGAACGAAAATTCTTAATTGCAATGTACTCACAGTCTTTTTTGGACATCTGTGTAGGACAGTAAGAGATCCCCACTTTTCTAAGAGCTATAATTATGAACCGAATAATTTATTAGCCAACATAGAACATAATGATAGAGAAAAATTATAGAAAAGGAAATTTACCGCATCCACTAAATCTTTCATTTGTGGAGATCTTTCCTTGAATATTTCCATTTTCTCTTCAATTTTAGCATCAGTTATCGTATTTCGGGCCAAGATTGGTAGTTTTGGCAACACCTCTAAAGTCTAATGATAATATTGTTAACGAAGGAAATAAATAGGATTTAATCGTTTAAAATTTAAAAATATAGTTGATAATGTTATAAAAATATACCTTTAAAACGATCTCATCATCGTGTCTCCATTCGACTAGATACGCTTTCAACACAAGTAAACCGTGAAGATGCTTGAATTTGCTAAAAACATCATTATCATCCGTCATCTATTGTCGTAAGTTAAAACATTATGAGGATTAATATTTTGCTTATGCTAACATTGAATCCAAAAAGAAATAAAAAGTTTACATACCTCGAGACGATACAATATATCAAGTACTTCATCCCGATTATGTAGTGTGCGGATCATTGTTCGTATGAATTCGGGCACATCTTCAGGATCTTGGATTGGTCCCATTTCACCCTCGCCTTCGTCATCTGATTCATCGTCAGACCCTTTCTGACCACCAAGATATCCGCAGCAGTTATCCTCGTTACAGTGGCATTTTTGAGCGGCCATTCTAGTAGATTTAAATATTGGTAAAAGTAATACAAGTTAATTAATCAATTTGAATTTTTAATTTTTGAATCTGAGGATCCTTGGATCAATAATTGAGATAGTAAAATTCGCGGATACATTTGACTTGTCAAAAAGATAGCTAAACTTAACTTACCCTTTTCTATCTGTATTGTAATCAAATGTGAGTTCTTCTCCCAATACAATATCACGTAAAGCGAAGATTCCAATGCGCGTTCTTTTATTCACAATCCACTTCTGGATAAAGCAGTTCGGATTGCAAGAGTGATTCATAAACCTCGCGATACAGCCTTTCTTAGTCGCGTCAATAAGCTGTTTGATTAAATATAAAAAAGCGATGATCATATTTAATTAATTCTTACATAAATGAAAAGATAAAAAAATTATTTGATGAAGCCTACCTCTCCATTAGTAAGACTCATAAAATAAAAGTGCTCAATCCCTTTTTTCGCGTAATCTGTTTGACGCTGGTAAAAGACGTCTTTTGGAACGATTTCTCCGGTGTATTCTATGATAAAGGTGTTTCTATAAAACGTGAGGGGAATTAGAAGTAAAGAGACGAAGAGGATTTTTTTATAATGAATAAGACTACAACTGAATATTCGCTTTAAAATTGACGAATGCTAGATTAAATATATTTACTTTTTAATAGGCTCCATTGCTCGCAACCCATATCCTTTTGATTCGGTCTTAAATACATCGACAACAGAATATTCAGCTTGCTGGAATCTAAGAAACAAAAAAAAGAATACACGTGATAATTAGTTAGGAAATCGATGTTTGAAAGATTATTAAAATATATCAATAATTTGTCATGAGCATAATTGATCAAACTCAATCCAGAGGAAATAAAGGCTTTCAGACTCAAGAAATTCACAAAGCACGTTAAATCTTACCTTTTGTTTTTGCAGTAGTCTCCAATAGGACAATCTCCTGTACACTCGATGAATAACACGCGATTAATACATTCAGACCCGCACGCATCATCGATTGGGTCGCCTTTAGCGATAGAGAAAAAGATTGTTAAAGAGAATTCTATCGAAGGTAGGAATAGATCCATTATCTACATAGTAAAGTTGAACTTGGAAAATATTGATTTGTAGTTATTTGCATTGAATTATCATCGCAAATATCGCGAAAATTGGCTTAGTAATATTTTATTGTTATCAGCTTTAGATTAATTTTGGTATTACGCGAAATGTCGCTTCTTTCTTCCTTTAGAAATTGACATTGTCGAATAATATATGATCATTAAGCCATGGAACGTATAAATACTCAAATTTTTTCCGAGCGACGCAAAATGTCATTTCCAGACGTGTATCATTCCGTATACGAGTCCATTCGAATTACGCGCCAATTAAAGTAAAAACAATAATTACCTGGCTGGTATTCACAAACGCAAATCCCATAGTCTTCATCACTCGGTTGGTTAACTTTAGGATGGAGCGCGCGGTTATGGTAATTGCTAGTAATTTGTTTATATGTTTTGTTGGCTTCCTCTAGCGCAGAAGGATACTCGAAGAAAATTTTGTAGTTTGGTGTGGTGTTATCGGTGGTGGACATTTTGTAGATTCTTTAATAATTTTAAGAGCAAAGTAAAAGTTTTTTGATCTTTGAGAAAAGCTAAATGTGTTGTTAGACGAACAGCGAGACAAAAAAATTTGACAAGATGATTCATTACAAAAATATAAAAATATTTCAATGTTTCACATAAAGTATATTGTGCAGAAGATTGTCCAGATTTACTTTTTTCTCCGAGTATCGATGAATTACAACTCATAAAATGTGCACACAGAAACATCGTTTTGTCATTGCATTATGTCAGTACCGCAGTATTTGAAAAAATGTGAAACGCCTTCATGTAATAAAAAGCCACCTTTAAGCGTGATTATTATTTTGACGATTCAAGTTCAACACAAAAAGGTTCACCGCTACCGCACCATTTGGTGATCGACGTATTTTTGTAGACGCGTTATAAATCGTGCGAAAGCTATTGATATCAAGTTACGAGAATACATTAAACGTATAGGTTTCATTTGTTGATAGTTATTAAAATTTTTAGTATGTTCTTTCTACATTGCTACATTGTCTCAACAGAGATTTGAATATAGTTAAAAGCTTAATAATAATGGGAATCCCATGTAAAGTTTACAAAAGGCGCGACTTTATAAAATGCGATTATATGGAAAGTGACCATATGGGGATGTGACAAATAAGATTTGCTTGATTAATTTAATTTTGTCGGTGAAAACTACCTAGTGCAAATTATCTAATACTTTCGATCTTAGTTTTACCAAGGGGTTGAACTACTCTCTAGTCCTAAAGTACGAATAAGATAATATTTTCTTAATGTCAGCGTTAGGGACTCATTGCTCTTCTGTTTTTTGATTATTTACTTGGCTTAATTAATCCAGTTTGTTTTATTTTATCATTTGATAGGTAATTATATAAACGCCTTTCCTTACAAAATATCTAAAATAAAATAAAATCATGTTTTTGCGTAACTTTTTCTTTACCCTTTACTCTGCCGTTCATTCTACTTGCGCTCTTTTCTAATCTTATGAGGCCTTTTAATCGATTATTCTCGTGGCCAACATAAGGTTGCCATTTTTCTTTTGGCAAATTTTGCAACTAGTGAACATACACGACCTGCCGGCAGAGGGTTAGTGATCAGAAAAAAATTCTAGCACTTCCAGTTTTTATTGCCATTTTAGGAAAATTAAGGGGATCTATCTACTTCGTGTTTTTTTTAATTAAACCCGAAAATTTTTTCTATTGCTATGAAACCCAATTTTTGACTCAATTAATTGCGTCTGACTCGATAATTTCCAGTCTAATATTAATCAGTGCCCTAGCCAGGCGAAAAAAATCGTCGATCACGTGATTCATATCACAACACCAACCTTCCGACATCCCCTTAGGGGTTAGGGTATATATCAGATGGTCGGCATCGGGATCGAAATTACGTGATCGATACATTTTTTCACCAGATTGATCACACATCCCTTTTTTCTTATCAAGTTAACAATATTTAATTCAAATTATGAGATACAGTTTAAAGCATCCCCTGTATGTAACCTTTGTATCAGAAAATAGCATCCTTTTTACGCTTTATTCTATATTCCCTCGTATTGTAAAAATTTTTTTTGAATTTGGTGTTGAACGGCTCTTAGTAAAGATCTGAGACTGGTTGCGAAAATGGCAATTGTAAGAGTTCGTAAAACGGATCACAGAGGAATCCTGGAAGTCACGTGAACGGAAAATCGATCCTACGTTCGGTAAATCCACTACTCCAGCTCACCCACGAACGATTTTCCCTTCACATGATTTTTTTTCGATCCCTAACGATCTCGAAACCAATGAGTATGCGCAAATTTTTGATCAACCCGGCAAAACAAATCCACACAAGAAAATGAACAATGCTTAAACCTAACTTTTAGCAATAAAAAATGACGGAAAGACAATTTTACATACCTTACTCCAACTCTAACCCTAACTTTTAATAGAATGTTTCGGGTAATTGTTGTGGCTTGGAAAATCGGATCATAAAATCACGTGAAGAGAAATCGATCGTCGGGAAGTGCTTAGGGACAGTGCAGGATCACGTGGCCTTCAAAATCTACGCTCACGTGATCACAGAAAATTGACGTTAAAGATTATTTTATCGTTTGGCTTAGGATTAGGGTTAGAGCTGAGGATAGGGTTATATGTAAAATTGCTTTTCCGACAGTTTTTAATAGTACTTCAAGCTAGATTTTGACATCTGTTTTCCACATTTTCACATTTTTTATTTTCTAGTCAAAGGCCACGTGATTCAGCACTGTCCCGGATCGATCGTGGAATCAGAATCATGTGACAATCACGTCTTTAATGCAAATCTCGGCAAAATTTTGACACCAACTATCAACTCTAATGGTTCTTCGCAAAAAAAAGCAAACATTACATTCTCCAGAAGACAAGCACGACGAGAGCCTGTCATCTTCAGACCCTATAACACAATTTACAAGTAAAAGAACAAAAAAGCCTCGTAGCAAAAGTCAACTAGTAGTGGAAGATAGTGATGCCAGCGAGTCTTCAGACCCTTTCACTATGTCAACAACGACAGCAAGAAAGGCTACCTCAAGAACTCGACGCGTCAAACCTAACAGCAATAACACTATTGCTACTAGCACTACAAATAATACTGTAATAAGTGAAGAAGAAGAGCCACCTTCCTCTTCAATTCAAATGACCAGGGGACAAAAGCCTCCAAAAAAAATTCTTGACAAAGGAAAAGGCAAAGCAGTTACTTCTGACAATAACAGTAATAACAATACGAAAAAAATTGATAAAGGAAAAGGTAAACAGGTGCTCCGCGACGAAGATGAAGAATCTGAAGACCCTCTAAGTTTCCCGGTTTCGTATGTTCAGCGAAATGAACAACGAAATCCAAGACAGTTTAAACGATTTACAAACGACGAAGATACTTCCGACGACCCCTTGACACAGTTTTTCGTCACTACCACCGCTAAAAGTCGCAAACTCAGTGTAAATAAGAAAAGGCCGCGGCCGCTTCGTAGACAGAAAATTCAGCGGTTTCCTGAGTCAAGTGAATCAGAAGATGATGAATTTTTGATGGATTTTGGTTCCAGATTTGTGGAAAGAAATTTGAAATGTGGGTACTTGGTTATCAACAACAATCTATTTTTTTATTAGAATCATTATTATTAATATATTTTGTTAATGTTCACAGCATCAAAATATTCATTAGAGCCTACAGTTTGCTTTATTTCTCAGACAACAATCCAGCAACGGTGGAAACCTCTTGACACATCATCGAAACGACAACTTGTGCGTGCACTAAAAAATATTGCATCGTAAGTTATTCTCGACTTATTAACTTCGAAAATGATGATGGGTGATAATAAGATGCGTAAATCAATTTATTTATAGATCCGTAACTTTTAATATTCGGAATGCATCGAAAAGGGCAGAGGTACAAAGAGATCTAGACGCATTAATCTCAAGGTATGTATGTAATTCCCAATACCTTTATAATTAATGTTTTTATCGAAGATTAAATAATTAATTAAGGACTAAAGAAAGATATGTTCATAAATATTCTATGAATAACAACAACCAGTATCAATAAACGATTAGATACCGTGTCACTTCCAAAACCCATAAAAAACGCGACTTTTGATAACAAAGAATTTGCTTCACAAAACGTAAGTGTTTTGATCTTCTATTTTTGATTAATGGAGCATATTAATGATTACAGTATTAGTATTAGCTTTTTCACACGAGTTGTGTAATAATTTTACGTGGCTATGTATGTATCTATAGAAAGAGATGGAAAATATTCTCGTGTCAGAATTGGAGACGATAAAACAAATGGAAATGCAACTAGCTCAAGAAAAACGGCAAGGATTAATTAATATTTGAATATCAGGCTTTTTCGTTCCTCTTGATTAATGTTTATTAATCATAATAGATTGTTAGCAGAAGAACGCGATGCCTTAGAACGACTTCAAGAAATGAAAATATCACAGGGTTCTCGAAGTTCGAGGGGTTCAGAATCAAAGGTCTCCTTAAATCGATCGATAATTATAATAATTAATTGATAGATGTCTAAATCTAAATCATTATTATATAGTTATATGCACTATTACAAGCGGAAATAGAAGACCCTATTGACATCGACGACGAGTTAATAAAAAAGAATATACCAAGAGCAATAGCACCATTGACAACAGAAGAAGGACGATCATGGGATGTAAGTATTATTAAAAGAATAAAATCGATCGATGAAATCAATACATTAAGATATTAATATTAATAATATTAGCCTGACAAAGACCAAACGATCATCGACCTCAAGAACTCGTTACTACCGCATTTTCGTTCAATCAATAACGGTACACAGTCGCTAGATGATATCGTCTGTGGAATCGGAGATGCTGAAAAAAAGTTGTGGAGGATATTGAGGGTTGCGGGATTGGATGAACAGATTGCGCAACGACTTGTAAATAATTAAACGAATGAATTGGTGAATCAGATAGTAATGAAAATAACAATGAATTGTTCACGTTTAAAATAAAATACTTAAATGAAACACCAACCTGATGATCGACTAAAAATTCAACTATAACCTTCAAAATTTTAATCCAAAATTCATGAAATCTACAAATTTCGATTTTATTATCGTTATTTGCTTTTGCTGTAAAATTTTCCAAATATGGAGTTCAAGTTCGGCATATAAAGGGAAAATGTGAGTTAAAAGTTTTTTGTAGCACTGTTGAGGGAAAATAAAAACCAATATTAAAAATGTTAACTGGTCACTCGTTTATTATTTTATCTTTTTCATACATCTTTTATGCACTGGCGCAAGGCTTTTGGTTTACCCGTGGTATATATAATGTGTTTTGGCCAGTACGCTCATTCCGCCCGCCCTAAGTACCCTTTCATATATATACTTATCAGGCTATTGTTCTGGTAGATGCACCCTTTTCATTCATCCTTTTTGTCAATACTTTCCATTGATCTTTTCCGAGCTTTTTATATTTTCTGGCGCTTGGCTAAATCATGGGGACTCGGTGGTATAATATGTCTCATTACCTCGCCACCAATGGGGCTCTAGTATACTTGCTGCCCAAAGGCCCAAAGTGAATAAAAATTAATAAAATTTTGGACGACTTTGAGATTTGGGTTTGTGATTCGGGCTTTTATAATAATTGGATTTGGGCCATTGCTCTATTGGTGGATGCATTTTTTTTTGGCGGCTCAGTTATCCATAGTCTCAAATCAATCACCTTTTATTTCCGGGCTTTTGATTTATAATATGTCTGGGCGGTGTCTCATCATCAATGGGCTCTAAGTTTATTCTTCATATCGGGTCGTTGCTCTATTGGTTGATGCATTTATTCTTTGGTGGCAAGTGCTCTTGATATGGGGACCAGTTATCCATAATACAAATTATTTGAGCAATCACCTTTTCAGGAAAAGCTATCAGGTCCTGATTCTTCCAAGCCGGTGTCTCGAACCCTCAAGATCGTCACAAGGTAAAAGGGTTATTTATAGCAAGTCCCGGCCACAAAAAAAGCGAGAACCGCTTAGTACACCAAATAGAGTTTCTTGTCATATAATTTGTAGTAAAGATCGAATCATTTGGATCAAACTCGTCATTTTTTAACTATAGCTTGTTCTTTTTTATTCATAATAAAAGTAAATACATAAAATAGGCTTTGAAATAAAATAGCTTTAAAATAAATCCATTAAATTATTACGAATTCAAAAGAACAGTGTGCAAACTAAGTTATTTGCTAAAAAAAAAACAATAAAAATGATTATTACTACTAAAAATGATCATCCGCCTATACGACATCATTAGCATTCAATGGAAACAAAACATCACGTGCAAAGTAGAAATTAACAGATGAATTATTCAAGTCTATCATTAATGAATAATAATATAATATTACATAGAGAAGAGAGTTTATGATCACTCGTGGAAAAAGTTCACACGCGAAAGACTAAAGAAGACATAATAAATGTGGATTAATAATTCATAAGAAAATGCAAGAAAATAACTATAATAAATTACGACCCAATTAATTTACCTATTGCTGCGCGTTTTCCTTAGCTTGCCGCCTAATTTTCATCTCATATTCTTTGCGATCCTTCCTAAAAAATTTCGAAATAAAAATATATTTTGGGATTTTAATTCCCCAAAGGAAAACAAAATTATCAAAACAAGATTATTAAAATTCATACTTGAATAGCATATATGCGTCTGACTGTGCGGGACTCTCGGGATTGGGATCATTTAAAAGATCTTGGATTCCCAATAATATCTAAAAAAGTAGGTTAGTATCAGACAGGGTCGGAACCACCAACATCCGCCTCCTTCACGGTATATCATCTTATTGAATGGACCTGTATAAACTAGTTCCTTTCACAACAAGACCCTACTCTTGTTTTGTTCGGGTCTTGTTAATAAGATTTCAATAACAAGAAGGCAACTCGTCGAGAATCTCAAATTTTGGCAAATGCAATTTTGGATTTATTTACCAGAACTCGATATTTTCGATGAACTTTATCATTATTCGATTTCGGCGGTGCTTGTTGAGAATCCGAGAAACAGCAAAATCGTTATTTTATCGCTTACCTGCTTTATAGTAATCGCAGGCTTCCATGCTTCCTCTTCATTAAGAATTGAAAGGCATACAGTACCAGATGGGTATACATTTGGATGAAATAGGGGTGGTGTGAATTTGCCTGATTAAATATTGTGTATGAATAAATTAATCGATTACGAAGATGAATAAATGGTAAAAACAATATCGGCCTGAACACAATAAATAGAATGCAAACTTACATTTTGGCGGCTTGCTAGGATAATCTACAGGAGCAATCGAGTCAGATGAATTTTATGTTGTGATCAATAAAGGATAAGGAGTGAAAAAAAAATAATACCTTCCGGGAAACTCATAATGATTTTATACGTGCCACCTTCCCAAGGGGTCTAATTAAATAATTAAAAAATATATACTTTGGGATCCATTCCGTGGAATTTTTAACTTTTCAGACTGAACTAAAACAAAAACCTCACCCCCAGCTTTCCTGGAATTCCCACTTCCCAATTCATCAAGTCAAGACCATTTGGTGTTTTAGTTGGTCGCGCGTAGAATCCCTTAACGAAAGAAAACTTTAAGTTTACACCTAAAAATATAAAAGAAAATCTTTGTAAAACATTCATACATATGGGTGGTCTTTTCGCCATTGTTTGCGTTCCTCGGTTAGTCTAGCTCTGCAGATGCCCGACATTTCTATATTTATACTTGTAAAGATTTATTTATCCTTGTAAAGTTAGAAGAAAAGCTTTTTTGATCAACGTTTGTAACCACCAAAGGTATTTTGAAGAAGGATTCTATTAAATTCACATATCATAAAATTCATCGACATTTATTAATATAGATATATTAGCTATCGTTATATATGACCTATAGATGATCCTGCTTGTTAACCTTATTTCGAGAGCACAATAAGAACACGTAAAAAAATGCCAAAAATCGTTTCAAGCTCTACAGTTTCTTCATCCGAACAAACGAATGTTCGACCAGAACAACATTTGCATGTCTATTATTGCCTATGTAGTGAATTCATTCTTGTAATAGGTAAAATTTCCCAAGTCGTATTTCTCAAATACTATGATATAATATATGATCTCTGTATTTAATGAAAATCCTGATTAACATCTTGATTGAAAAGATGCAAAGTTGGACAGATTACCAAGACGTAAAACAGATAATGCGTATATTATAGCTAATGGTAAACGCATCTATAAATTGAATGCTATTGAACCCTCAAATAATCCCATCGTGCTCAAAAGGTATTTATCCTATCAATATCAATTCAAAGATGATGGAATATATATAGAAGATTTTTGTTCATTGTTTTTTATTCTATACAGACTACAAGGATATGAGAAACAATATCGACTCCATTGTCCTCGTTGTAATCTTTTCATTGCCTATGAAGTCACGCCTAAACGCAAATCTGGTGCCTTTACTTATATAGTGGAAGGAAGCCTTACTGATAATCAAGGAGTTGTGCCAGCTGATGCAATTGATGAAAAAGACAATAAAACGGATCAATAATCATTATGTTTATTACACAGCGAACCTCGATATAACGGACTCATCCGATCCATTAGTGAAAATCTGTTATATCGAATAGTATTTATTATAGAACGTTCCAAATCTTGTTATAGATGTTCCAAATCTTGTCATATTTTAAATTATGAGATTGTTCTGGTGTATTCTTCCATAAATTTTCAATAAGTGGTGTTGATTCGCATTTTTTTATCACTTCTTCTGCAGTTTCGAAGATTTGTTGATGGAGTTCGGGGATCGTTTGACGTGCATCCAATACCTAGAAATAATAATAATTATTGGTACCAAGATGTTAATTAATCAAACCAAGTAAATTGAAAAAAAAATCCCGGTAACCTTCCACGAAGAATCCTTCAAATCTAAGAAAATCTTTCGAGCTTTCTTTTGAAATTCCAGTTTCTCGTATCGTTCTTTTCCATATCCACCACGTTTGACCGCTTCTTCCGGTTCCAAATCCATAAAGAATACGATATCGGGCGTAAGCAATCCGATGTCTGATGATTTACACCAATTAATATCAAGATCCTAAGAATAACCAAATTTATTAGTACTTTAACCAGCACTAAACATGCAAGAATCGATTTCAATACTTTTGCTGCAGAGAATGCTACCCCCGAGTACGCGTATCGATCAACTACAAGGGTGGTACCGCTCAGCAAGATGTTCTTGATGGCGGTCCTGTAATAGATCACCAAGAACCAAATTATTAAACAAACATATTAAAAAGAATTCCTAAAAACCCCAATTCACGAAATCAAATCGTCTTAATATACTCACATACACTCCCAACGATTAGCCGAGAACAATAAATGCACAACATGATCATCTAAATCTTTGGTGTTTTTGAGGTATCCATCAATCATTTTTCCAATATGTGTAGTACGATCTTGAGTGAACGTCATACACAAAAAAACCCGTTATTAAACTTACTATTTCTAAAATCAATTTATTTCATCCGCCATAAAGATATGTTTACCAGGAAACTTCCATAACTGCGCGACTTTGGCTTTATCAGTCATAGTTTCACTTTCTTTCAAATTATTGGTAAAAGTTTCTCCAACACCCACACCCAGAGACTTTAATGATGGCTGTTTATGCCGCTTTTGTAAATATTCTACAAGTTTAGCAGCTTGAGTTGATTTCCCGGCCCTATCACACCCTTCGAATACTATAAAAGCGCCACGACGCGTAGACGCGTCTGTGGGTGGGTTTAGTTGAACCATTGTTCGGTAGTTGAACCTAAAACGTCTCGTTCCGAATATTAAAGAAAAATTAACTCTCCCAAAATAATTTATCGGAGTAGAACGCGTGAGGTAGGTTAACATGTGATCTACGATCGACAGCGTGTGCCACTTTAAATACGTGTAATAATGTCACGTGTTAGCGTTGTTATATGGAAATCGTGCTTGTCATTTTTCCAGAACAGTTTTGAGATTTAAAAGTATTTGCTTAAATAAAATCACTCTGGTTTAAGTGTGAAAAATTCATTAAGTAAGGATAAATGACAGATACAATCAAAATTCGGCTCGAAAAACTAGCTGAACTACGAAAATTAAAAGATGAGGCCATTCAAGAAAATCGCAAAGAACTCTACGCCGAGCATCAACGCTCAAAAATAAATCCTAAAGAAGAGACAAGACGAGAACGAAAACGAAAAGAGGCTGAAAAATTACTAGCACGACAGGAAGCCGAGAAAAAAGGGGAAGATTGGCAACGAAAAAATTTCTGGGACATTTCAATAGAGGATGCGGAGAAATGGGAGGAAAAGCAAGAGAAGAAAGCTGGTCGTGCAAATACCGGGTTTACCGACTACAATCAAGTAGCACAAAAGAAATATGAGCGACTCATTAATGAATTTAAACCGAATTTGACTGCATATAAGGAACAGAAAGCCGCGGCTTTGGCGTCTGCTTCGTTGGTTACCACTGAAGATGGGAAAAACGTTGCGTCAGTTGATGTGGAAGCTAGTTTCTTTCGTGACGCGAATTCTCTCTCATATGCCACGGTGGATCAGACGCCAAATCGTGAAGCAGTTGATCGGGTTGTTCAAGATGTGCAGAAACAAATTATTCAACGAGAGAATTATTCTCGGAAACGTGCCGCAAGGGATGATGACGATATTACTTATATTAATGAACGTAATAGGCGATTCAATGCAAAGATTTCACGATTCTATGATGCTTATACAAGAGAAATCAGAGAGAATTTCGAACGTGGTACTGCTTTATAACATTACGAATTTATCTTTATTATTTTCCATAAAAAATTGATTTTACTGTATTGAAATAATAAAATATATCATAGTGGGATTTTATGGGACTTGTTTATTTATTTTCTGTGCATTAATATCGCACCTTTATAAAAGAGTCAATTTCTCTACATTTAAACATAACACACTTCAAAAATCGCCACTTTTAACAATAATCATATTCTCTATAGTCATCAACTACATTTGGATCCTTTAAAATTGCATAACCAAGTTATTAGGTTATTTCAGCAATCGTGTTTATATTTAATAAAGGTCATTATAAGTAATCATAGTGTCTTTTGATCAAAAGAAGTTAGAATAAGAATCTTGTATGATTTATGCACCTAAGAAATCTGCGCCAGGTTTTGTTGATCTCGGAAAATTCTACTGTAAAATTAATTAACATTAGGTTGGTTTTAGGATTAGGGTTAGGGTTGAGATACAAAATCGCCTCCCTGACGTTTTTAATTAGTACACCTGTTTCGCATTTCTTTCCTTTCTGGATCAAAAAATTGCGCATTCTTATTGGCTGCTGGTCTATGATCGACAAAACTTCTGATCTCATGATTTTCGGTCGATCGAAAAATAAATTTTATTCTCGCTTTCTGTAAGATGAATCGGACAATGCAAATTGAAGATTTTCCACCTGAAGTTTATGGGTTTCTTGTTAAATATCCACCAAAGAAACGCGCTATAGTTGTAGAAAGATTATTGACCTATGCTATAAAGAAAATGGAGGTAAATTACTGGTGAAATTCCGAAACATTCTTAAAATTCCTAATCTTTACGCGTTTCTTCTGTGATATCATATTTAGCACAAAGTTAGTCAACGACAAGAAAAGAAACATGTGTGTGAACCTTCTTGGTGGGAAGACCAAGAAGCAAATGTCAAACCATCCACCTCAAAAAAAGGCAAACAATCTGAAAAACACAATAATAATATTAATAACGATGATTGTTGTTGGTATCCCACAAGAAAGATTATATACCATTATGTTTTTTGTCTGATCAAAAGAACGCATCGATTATATTTGCTTTTTATCATATTCACGATAGTTCCCAAGAGGATGGTAGATGAGATGACTCAGACATCAAATCCATATATTACTGGGCCTAAACCTGCTGTTAAGGGATCAAGAGGGTATAAAAAAATGTTAGCTGGCAAGTATCTATTTTATTATTACGAAGATTCCTCTAAGTTTTTTATGATCCATTTATATTATGACTTTCTGCTTATCATGAAGAGAAATAATCCAATAGAACCTCCTCCCATCGAAGATATGATGATGCCATCTCTCTCATCTAAAAAAAAGAAATCTTTACGATCTGAAAGGTAAATAGGAGCATAACTTCAATGGTTAGAAATCCTTTAGTTTAATTAACTTAACATCGCCATTTAAGTATTTGCTCAATTCAACCAGGCAACTCTATTATGCAGCAACTCTCAATAATTTAGAAGAATCAGAGGAGCAATCAAGTTCTTCCTCACAAAGTTCATCATATTCATGGAATAAAAGATCGACTAAAAATGCTGAAATAGTTCCAGATTTTTGTGCAGATCCATTTGTAGTTTCTTCTTTGAAGAAAATGACATTGCAGAAACCTTTAACATTTGAAACTCGTGGTAAGCTATCAATCTGATTGCATAAAATAATCAAGATTCTTTTTAATTTTGTTCCAATAGCTTCATCTCGGAATGTAAGGTCAATCTTACCGTCACCAAAAGTAGTACCTCAAAAGCCGAATGGAAAACCCAATTCTAATTCATCAAAAGAACAACAACAAAAGCCGCCACAACAATCCAAACTTAAAGGTAATTGATTATATTAACACAATTATGAGTAGCTAATATTCTTAACATTCATTTTCATATTTTAAATATAGTGAATTCTTTAAATGAAAAAAAGATCGCTATCAACTTTACTTCAATTCCTTCTTCTAAATCCACAGCCGATATTGCACGCGAATTTCTTGAAAGTACTTTTGTGGCTTATTTAAATCCTCCAGCAAAGAACGATAATCAAAATTATGAAAAGTCTGGTAATGATCTAAAAGAAATAATTCTGAAAGCAAGGGAAAAGGTGCGTGTAAAAGAAGAAAATTATCTAATTTGATAAAAGTAATGATCAATTTTTTTGAATAAATTTTTTCTCTAAAGAAAAATGTAATATTTGATTGTTTTTAAGTAATTTTTCATTATTTAATTACTTTTTATAAATTAAACACAAACGATTTAAATTTATTTTTATATTACTTGATAATTAACCAATTTTTGTAGAATTTCTAATGAATTTTATTAATATAGTGAGAAGGAAAAAGAACATATTGAAATTCCATTTCCAAAATTTCATTTTTTATAGATATTCTTTTATACTTTATTTATATAATAGAATCATGCATGCAATTTTATTAATAAAAATTGAAATTTTTGTCTTAAATAAATATTTTTTAAATAAAAATTATAAGTTATATTTTAATATATATTTTTTTTTGAGATTTTATTTAATAAAGTTATTGCAAAAATTTTTTATAATTAATTTATATTATAAAATAACTTTATCAGATAAAATCTAAAAATCCAAAAAAAATAAATATTAAATATAACTTATAATCTTTGTTTTGATATAAAAATAAAAAATATTTATTAATAAAATTAAAATTTTATATAAGACAAAAATTTTGATTTTTATTATGTTTTATTAACAAAATCACATGTGTGATTTCATAATTCTATATTCAAATAATTATTTCAATAATAATTTTATTCTAAAATTTAATTAATAATTTAATATTTATTAATTATTTATATAAAAAAATATATATTTAGCTTATTCAAGTTTTTTATTGATTCAAAAATAAAGTTTTTTAATAATAAAACTTTTTAATAAAAGTTAATAAATAAATATAATATTAATTTAATTTCTTTATTATTTTACTTGAGTTTTATTAGATTTTTATTTAGTTTTGTTTAAATTTGTTAAAGTCATATTATTATCATTTTTATGAATTTCAAATTATTTATTCATTATTCATATATTTTGATTGGTGAAAGATTTTTGTAATAATTATTTTTGTATAAAAGTAGTGCTTCATTTTATAAGTAAAAAACAAAATTTTTGAACTTGATAATTTAGTTTTTAAATTAATTTTAAACTTGAAATAGTCTAATATTTTTGTTATCCTTGTATTATATATTTGTATAATTTATTATAAAGTATTGACAAAATAATAATAATAAAAAGCATAATAATAAAAAAGTATTATTAATAAATTCATAATCTTATTATATTATCACAATTCAATTTTTAGAACTCTTCTTGATGTTATTATTAAGTGTAACTTTAACCTATCATTTATTTATATTTTTAGTTATTGACTTCAATTCAATTACTTTAGGATTGATATGCAGTGTGTTTTCTTCTATTTTAATAAATAAAATAAGCTATTATTATTATTAATAAATATCTTTTTTGTATTTACTTAGTATATAAATGGTTTTATAGTAATATAGTACTAATATTCTATAATAATCTGATTGAATATTCAATAGTGTATAATAAATGTTATTATTATAATAATATATTATTTAATTAATTTTTGTATATTAATAATAAAAATAATCAAATAATAAATATTTTAGAAAGATATTTTATTTAAATTATTAGTTGAATTAATTGCTATAACTTGTTTTTTTATATTTATAAAACCAGTTATATTTATATTTAATATTTTTATGATTAAGTTATTATAATATAAGATATATTATACATGTTAAATAAATATAATATTGTTATCATTTTGATTGACTTTCGAAATACTCAAAGATCTTTATAAAATTTAAGAAATATTCAAAGATCTTTATAAAATTTAAGAAATATTCAAAGAAAAACTTCCAATATCTTAATGACAATTCAAAGTATTAATAATACTTTATGACTATTAGACTGGATGTGAATAAGTACTAAAAGTACTAATAATAAAACCACTTAAAGGTTGGTAACAATTGTGTAGTTTTAACACAATAATCTGAATTACTAAAAAAAGTTCTCAAAATCTCAGAGTCAAAGTTATAGAGATTATAATATTTGTATTATCAGCAATACAAGATTGAAGGTGAATAATATATTATCAGCAATACAAAATTGAAGGTAAATTTATGAGTAATATATTAATAACAATATAATCTCAAAGACAGATTTATAAGTTATAATAATAACTTCTTTATTTAATATAATGTTCAATAGATTTTGTCACAAATGTGTTTAGATAATCTAGTATTAAGATGATAGCTTTTATAATACTTCTGACAATCTTGCTTAAGCTACTATAATATTAATTTAAGATCTATATAACACTTATAGCAATAGTGCTGAAGTGATTATACAAGAAACAAGAATACTTTGTCAAAAAGGTATAGAGAGAAATTTGCGCTTGACTATCTACTCTATATAAAATATAAACTATACTTTTTTGAACAATCAAAACTATATAATAACTAATTAGATGTAATAATTAAGAATTACTATCTAAAAGGACTTGTTCATATCTAATTCTAATTATTACAATACATGTTATTTTTATACAAATCCAAAATATAATTTATCAGCTATACGAATTCATATTCACTATATCACTTAAATTCTATTGATCCAATATTTGCTTATTCACTTACTCATTCACTCATTTATTTACTTGTTTGTTCGTTCACTTGCTTTTTCATTTGCTTGTCCCACATGATTAGGTTTTTCCAATAAGATACAAGATATTTATAATTCAATAATATTAAGTATAAATAATCCAATATAATATTTGATCAAAGTTCATTATATAATAGAACTCTTATTGTTAAGATTTTGCTCTGTAAAATTAAAATGTTCAAATATCTTTTCTTTTAATTGATTACTAGATTTTTGACTTATTTTTTCAATTGTTTCTGAAGTTAAATATTTGTTTATTCTATATAATCAAAGTATATCTTCATGACTTTTGAAATATTGATAAAGTTGTAAGATCAATGTATATTTTGAAGTAGCATCTATGATGCTGATTTTATTTTTAAATAATCATCTAGATTCAGAATGTTGTTTTCTAGATACTTATAGTTACTAGTAAGATTTGATAGTATTCTTCCAATTTTATAATAAATTGAAGATGTTATATATTTACTGTCTTTCAATAATTCTTTATAAGTTTCTAATAATTCTTTTATTATTGATAATTGTGGTGGTTGTTCTGCTAATTAATTATCTTTAAAAGCATCTTTTATAATTTTGATTATATCTTTTTCTAAAAGTGTCCAGATTTTATTCATTCTTGTTGAATTTTCTTTATGTATTAGAGTTTGTTGAACTATTTCAATTGAGTTTCCAAGTAATTGTTCTAGTATTTTATCAAGATCTGTTGTTGAGAGCAAATCTGATGTTACTTCTTTTTCAAAGCTGAAGAAATCAAAAGAGTTCATAGTACTTGTTGGTTCTGGCTGAGTTTCAATAATATTTGTTGAAAATTGGTATTTATTATTACTAATTTTTATTCAAATTTCTGAACATTGTTCTTGTACTTTAAAATATAATTCATTAACTAATATAAAAATTTTGTCAGGAATATTTATAAAAGATATATTAAAAAAGTAAAAAAATAAAAATATACAACTAAAAAAATGATAAAAGATAAACTAATAATTTTTTGGAAATATTAAGTTAATAAGATAAAATTTAAAATTTAAAAAAAGTAATAATTAAATAATTATTTATTTAAAAGGTTGAAATCATAGAATTCTTTTGATAAATTATATGATTATGAATCTATAACATTTCTAGATCCATATAAGGAGTTAATTTTCATTCCAAGTTTTCATGCAAGTGTATTTAATTTTATGAGTTGTTCAGTATTTGTTTTTATTCAATAATTTTTCTTTGGTGTGTTACTATAAATTGTTCTACAGATTTGGCAGGTATAATCTTGAATTGGTCCAGTTTTTCTTTGTGTTATCTGTTATTTGACAGATTTTTTGGAAGTAACTATATATTTATTACTCAGTAATGATAAAGAAATACTAGCAGTATTGCTATTTTTGCTACTGGTTTGTGATCAAGTATCAGAATAAATGTTATTGTCACTTGAAATTTCTGATAATTCTCTATAGCTAGAAATGAGATTATGTTCTGGAATATTGTTATTGTCATGAGTTTTGTCTTTATCTTTTATTGGTTTTTGAATTATTTTAATATCTTCTTCATTATCTGTGTCAGTAAAATTAATGATGTATTTTTCTTTAGGGATATATTTTTCTTCAGAAATAGTAGATTTTTCTTTGAAGATAGTAAGTTTTTCCTCAGGATTACAAGTATTACAATCATTATGAGAAAGTCTTTTACAATTTCTACATCAATGACAGAAATATGAATGGAGAATATATTGTTAATTTTTAAATTTTTCTTCCATCTCATTTTCATATCTAATGATTCTTGTGACTTTTATACATGATTAATATTGCTTTTCACAGTGTAATAATATTTTCCAATTTTTTATTTACAAATATATGGTATCTGATTAAGTTATTCTCAAATAGTTTTTCCAGAGTGATAGAATTTAAGATAGTGATATTCTTCAGTTGAAATTAATTTTGACATTTTTGAAAAATTTTATGGTTCTCATTCCAAAGATGATATAAGATTTAACTAATTCCAAAGCTTAGTTTATTAACTTCTCAGTCAAATTAGTTAACTCTAATTTTGAATTATAATTATTGGTTCTAACTTATTATTTTCAAGATATAATTTTAAATAATCTTTATTATAGGGATTTTTTAAAAGTTTTTTACCTATTATTCTTAGTTGATAAGCTTTATCAAGTTTTCATGAATATAAAATGATCCTTTCCATTTTTGCAAAAATGTTTCATGATGCTAGTGTTGTATTTTTATTCTTTTCATTAAGACTTTATCTTTAATAAAGAAAGTTTGTGCATTTTTATCTTGTTGATACAATTCTTTTTGCTTTTGTTGAGATTTTTGAATATTCTGTTGAGCTATTATTCTATTAATTTCTAATTTATCCATTATTATGCAAGCTCACTTGATGATTTCATTTTTATAACTTCATCATTTTCTTCT